ATCATTCCAATGTTATAATTTTGATATATATACAAAATTAGAATGTATTAATAAATATGAAACTAAAACTATCAGCAGGTATAATATCCTCGGCTCTATTTATTAAAGAAACACTCAAACTTAAAAATAGCATAATTTACACAGAAGTTACAGTAGCATTCCGTTATTTGTTGATTTTCAATTGAAACTTGTCATTTTCGTTATATAATCATTCAAAGAATTAAATTGGATGTTAATCTAGGATTCATTCTAGGATTCATTCTAGGATTCATTCTAGGATTCATTCTAAGGATTCATTCTCAATACACTGACAAAAGAAGCAACGACAAATCAAGCCTTCCGTGAATATGGCAGACAGTCAACTTCCAATGTACACTAAGCTCTAACCTTGACGTCTTTTCCGCTTCCTTATGCCGTTCTCCGTTTTCTTTTTCATTCCAAGCTCATCAAGCTTGCTTCCCTATTAATGGTCGGCGGCGGTCTCAAAAAGACGCAATTTAACGAGACTCTTATCATGATTTAAGATTGAGAAGCAGGGTCTTAGGCTTTAGAATTCAGGTCTACGGTATAAGATCTTCGTTCATGGACCTCTAAGGTTTTCTACAAATTCGCGCTACTATAAAGTACAGCGATTTTAGGATAACGTAAATAGTAAGCGTTTAAAAACAATAAGAAACATGATAGTTTGCCGAAAATGCGTTGGAAACTATTTTAAAAATATATTTATATCATCGTATTTCTGCGAATTTGAGACATTAAGCCCGCATATTTTCCTATCCTGTCGGTGAACAGAATATGATACTTAGAACACATTAAATGAAAAATTGTATCGGTCACATTTTGTACTAAAATCGAAAAAATACTACTATGAATATGTTCGAATTTAGAAAATTTTCCTTGTAATTTTTCAGCAATTGCGAATGTTCAGAGTTGAAAGTTTTGCTAATAAATCATAACTTGATGAAACACGACTTTCTTGTCACGTAGAGCTGATAGAGTTGTTAAAATCGTTTTTGTGATTTCAGAGAACGTTATGTTCGCTCCTACTTTTAAAGCTTCGTCCGCGACACCAGGTACAGTTGCAAACGAGCTGTGTGACATTAACGGAATGCTTTGTACCTTTGTACAGTCATTAAAGCGAAATCGATATTAATACGTTATTATTAATAATAGATTTTGGACTAACAATAATCAACAATAGAACGTCGGGTCGGTGGTCGGTAAATCGCCCTTATCAATTAATATTTACACGCCTGGTGTGCTGCAGTTTTAAACTAGGTGTTCCATTTATTTTTACGACCGGTTGCGGCGGGGAAAATTCTTCTTCCATTGCAATGTATATTTTACTATGCTGTCTGTCATTTACTTTAAACTGGAGCAACTAAAAAGGAACATCTTGTGCACTAACATGGTCTAGATAGCTCTGACACGATCTCGTGATAGTCAAAGGAAACGATATTAACACGGTACATTTATTCTTAGAAGAACGTATAAGTGAACTAGCTAAATGAAACACCTTGCAAATGACAGTAATTTCATCATTGTTCTGTTTTAACTCCTTAAAGTGTTTCTTTGTATGTTAACATTAACGATCTTTATCTCCTTTCACGTTCATGGAAGTAAATGAATATTAATATTAATGACTTTTGATCGATTAAGAGATTGCATGTTACTGCCATAACTAGGCTGCGGATTTTTATGCGAAATAAAAATTGAAATACAAATTAAATAGAAATAAATTGTATCTTTTAATGATTTTGATAAGTCAAAAACAGTGTAACAATATTATTAAATTCTTTACGAATTTTATGTTGCAGTTACACATTTTTCCCATAAATCTATAAAATCCGCAGTCTAGTCGTAACATGTACAGTTTCCATAGTAACCAAGAGAAATGAAACGTTCTAGGTGTAGCAAAATATGCGAAACATATTGTGCAAAACGCTAACGTTTGCATAGTTAGTGTACGAAATCATGGTAGGGGATAATTCTCAAGATCATGTCAATAAGATTAGGAAATAATCCAATATTTATATTGTATTTAGTAAGAGCACTCATCGACGCGTTGTAAAAATATTCCGACGATCGAAGTTAAATAACTGGGAGAGATTATTTTAGCCAAAAGTGTAATTCGACCGATTGCTAATACAAAATAATAAATAATAATAAATAATGACGTCATGTGCTCAAGTATTATTGTAACGCACGTACTTGTATTGAGTGTACATGTTGATGAATTATTTAACAATTTTATTAATACAACTTCGAGTTTTTTTCATTGCAATAGTATTTTAGCATTAATTTAGAAAAATTTCTTTGCAATTTTTGAGGTAGTTTTTCCGAGGACTTCATAAGAATGATAAAACTGAATTTATTGAAACTTTACAACAGTTTTTCTGTAATGTATTCTTGAACTTAGAAATTTATTCAATCTCTTTCCATGAAAGAGTCTCTTTCTGATTTCAATAATTTAAAATTAAAAAATACGGTGAGTTTAGTATTAAGCAACATAATTGGATAGTTGCAAATATATATTTGTTCTCTTCACGCTTAAATTGCTTTGGTGAAGCGACCGTAATTGTTCGTTTTCGTGTTTAATGCACGTGAACGCAAAATGAAACATTATTCAGCCACTATTTATATGTGCCGCGAGAACAGGAAACGAGCTGCAGTTCAAGATTTTAAAATTAGATTTTCGTGGGCGTCGATATTAAGGTACCTCTAATTGTAATTGTCGATGGTTACCAGAATACGATGCCGAGTTAGGTTTCTGGAGCAAGATGTTCTATAATACATGATACTAATTTTCGACACGAAGCACGATAGACAGCTCGAGGAATTGGGCAACGTTGAGGCAGCTCGACAATGTTTCTATTGCGGTTTCGTCTTACTAAACTTTAATGTCATTTTGATCCTATTCTAAAAATCGAGGCTGCAGTTTTTCAAGAATCAGTTTCATGCAAATTGTTCTATATTGGAGTCTTGCATCGAAAAAGAAAATTATATTAAATAATATTAATCATAATGAACTCGTGATGAGCTCATAAGACTGCGGATTTTATATTATTTAAATTATAATGACATAAGAAGAATTGAATAATATTATCACACTGATGTAAAATTTCTTGTCTTGGAAAATTTTTATTTCGCATAAAAATTCGCTGTCTACTCATAAATGATCTACTAAATATGAATGTTATTCACGTTTTTTAAATTAAAACAAAAGTTGATTCTTCTGTTATCAAAGTCTATGAATGAAAGTAAATGATAACTAGACCGTGGATCTTTACGCAAAATAAACATTGTCTGAGTCAATTGTAAGAAATGGGATTGCAATAAAAATCTATTTCTTCATTTGGTGATTTCAGTAAATGATGGAATGTTCCCAACTTCTTTTAATGTCATCATTCCTTGAAATTTCTCATAGTCTTACTTTATCATAAATGCAGAAATGAGTAATCGATATCCAGAGTAATGAAGACTTTGAAGAATTAAGAATTTTATTAGACTATTTTCAATGAATGCAAAAAATGTTTATTTTGCATAAAAATTCGCAGTCTAATGATGGTATACAAGAAACAAATATCGTCCCGTTCTATTAAGGAAATTATCAAGCACGAAGAAGTGCTAGTCAACGCAGGTGTAAAAGAAATCACAGTGCAAAGAGTTAATCTAATAAAATGTTTCATTTGTCTTGCTTACGCAGTATTTCACTAAGAATTTAATGACATTAATAAGTTCATTGATATTAATATCCTTTCCTGTAGAATTAGGTGACCTGAAACATTTCTACGATATTTTTAAGATGCATTTGCAATGCATTTTACACGCTATTTGTCTACATTTCACTATTCGTATTCGTCTTCCAATGTGTAGGATTCTTTAATAAATGTTGACATAACTTGATACGATGTGCAAAATATCAAGATGCTGCATAAGTTCCCCCGCCATTACGTTCGTACAATTACACTGTCCGACAAAATCAAACTTTTTTTCCTACAGCCACTATGAAATTCTTGTCAATTGCCACTAAGAGCCACACATTTTTGTTGATTACATTTGATTAATTTTCTATATTATTTTCGACGAAAGAGGAAGAAAATAAATTTTTGGCAATTTCGGAATATGTAGATTATCATATAGATAATTATAACTATGTATTAGAATGTGTAGATAATTTAAGAAGAAAATGTATCTTAGCGAACAGAACATATGCAGCAACCTATGTAAGTTTGTAATGATCCAGATGCACAAACAAAAATTCATTTCCCGTCCATTTCATAATTGCCATCGATGTACTTTCTGCATACGGTTCCGACGATTTTCTGGGATCTGCTGACGTAATAAACTGAGAAATCGTCGAGGAAGGAGCGATTCTTTATATAATACGCCCACGCAGCCAAGATTAGCAAGTCTATGTTGATTTTGGCTCGATCCCGACGAATTCACGTGTTTACTACGGTACAAAGACCCTAACGCAGCTTTTTTCGGTTCCGCTTGAACATTGTTTACCTTAACACACATAAATCGACTTGATTTGCTTATAAATTACTGAAAACATATCGAATCAGATAATATAGTAGGCGAAAAGCAACGTTGTAGTAGGTGTGAAAAATGTGCTGTCCAACAAATTGGAGATTACATCATCAGTGTTACTCGAAAGAGGAATAGTTATTTATTCAAGCGATTAATTTCAACCATTATAAACTAACCGATGTAGCAACGACGTCATATTGTTTTCTACTGTGTCGATTTGCTTTAACTGGATTGACAGAAATCTTTAATCATTAAAATAATACGCGGTGATAACATAATAAGTTATTATTTTGTAGTCTCATCAATTTTTTGAACGGTATTAACTAACAACTGTCCATATCTGGATGAATTGTTGTTAAATGTATTAACAAAGTAGTATTATGCCTGTGATTTTATATTACACCGGAAACTGAATACGTTTAGTTATTAATTATACGTTTACTAAATCGATCAATTATGCTGTAATTTTCGCGAGAACAGTTTAAGAGCACTATTTAACTTTAAACGTTGCAAATCCATTGCAAGAATAAAATATTTTGTTCAATGTGTAAGTTATGACATGGATCTGTTTACAAAATTGAGTTTTCATTTGGAATCATTGATGTTCTGTGTTCGAAATAACTGTACGAAATTGTGTACCGTGATTTAACAATAGACATTTTGAATGTTAGGCGTTTGGTCGCCTGGAAGCGAACCACCACCACCACCATCAAAGGAACGAAGTCCCGAACGAAAAGAGTCCGAAAAGGATACTGGAATCCCTCCAGTCTGGACACCATCCAGCGCTAATTCCAGTCCTGTTCCAGAAAAGAAAGAATTTCGGCCAGTGCAGTTCCAAAGCCCCATCCTAAGTCGCAAAAAGTTGATACAACAGGAAGTAAGTTAGCTTCTTGCTCTATAAATCTAATAAGATTAAGAGGTCTCTCCAGTTCAACGCTCTGAATAGAAGATAACTCTGAGAATGCTTTTAAACGAACTGCATTCTATGTTTTCATTCAAAATTTAGCATGCTTAATTAAAGTTTTATACTCAGAGAATGCTTTGAGTTCATCTATCAGCAATTCGAATATATTCATTCGCGATAAATAGATGTGTAATCAAATATATAATGATATATCATTGGAAATAATTGCTCTATTTAAATAAAATTAAGAATTCGGCATATAAAATACTATAATTATCTGCAGTTACGTTATGTTCTCCGAGAGAGGATATTTGAGGATTAAAATCCGACTCCGTTTAGTCCGAATAATTCAAGTTCCATTGTAATATTATTTTCCCTCGACTGGGGTCAGCAAATAAGAGAATGACTTTTTAACGAATCCCAGATTCTCCAATCTGCGTATAAAATTAGAAGTTCCGTAAACATCTGTAGTTTCTCGATAACATACACTGAAACCTGTTTTTGTGCGATTTTTTGTACAGGGTATACGAAAAAGTTAGAAAGAAATCAGTAAAATAGTCTATATTTATCAGTATAATAGTCTATAATTAATTAGTCTATAATTATTAGTCTATAATTAAAATTTTTCTATATATTGAAAAAGTATGTGCACATGCAAATAAGATATTTAAAACTAAATTAATTTTTCTATCTAGTTTGGAAAAGCAATTTTTAGCTTTTGTAAAACTTTTTTTCAATTTCTTCAGAAAATTATTTTTCACAGCTTCTTCTGAAGTTTCGGAATGTTTTTTTTAGCGTTTTTTTATACGGTCGCCATTTGCCGCACAATGATTGGATCTTTCAGAAATTTTCATAGGAACTAAAATAATATTTCCAAATGTTTTTTTTTTAGGAAGAGGAAGCACCGCCACCTTGGAAAAAAGAAGGGATAAAGGAAACAATAGAAACTAGTTACGACAGCAGTAGCTCACGAATCGTTAATTCTCACTCAGCCCCGTCGCAAGGATTCAATTCTCTGGTTTCGACGCCTCGTTTGCCCCGTGCTCAGAATCCGACAATCACACTGTTGCAGAAAGCTCGAGGTAATACTTAGGATTACGGAATTTTTGTTTGAATGTATTCAGTTGACGCGCAAATCCTGTCTTTTCGATTTTAAGCGCAATTTTGTCTCGAAAACGAACGTTTATTCTAGATGCATTCTATATCATGATAAAATTCTACGGGTATTTTTTAAATCTAACTTCAATTTTGTTATTTCGTAACATATTGAGAAAATTAAACATTAAACATTAAATGAAAAATTAAAACAGTGCTAGAAATACCATAGTAAGATTTGTACGTACAGCAGAAATTTTTCTGACAGCAGTTCTAATGTTGCATTTTTTAAATTAAACTAAAACGAAAGATGTGTCGAACACTACATAGTTTTAACTTGGAAACCTCAAATTGTAAAATGAGAAAAAAGTTTGTGTTCAAAATAAAAGTACACTTCAAACTTCAGCGATAAAGCTTACCTAATATACTAGACAGCAATGATAATCAGACTGCATATATGTATAATGCATTGATAAAAGTAGGAATAATGATATGTCGAGGTTAAATTCATAATAAATATGTTTTCAATTTATGGATATTCATTTATAAATTTTAATAATATTTCGTGACTGATTAAAGTAAAATGAAAAATTTTTTATTATTAGGATAAGCTATAAACAAATTAGCGTTTATGCATTGATTGCATGTTATTTTCATTGTAATTCGTAAAAAATACTTTTGAAAACTAACATTTTATAAAATAAAATAGAAAAATGCGAATTTACGTGAAGACTCCAAAACTGATTAACAGTCATGAATGACTGCTGTTGCAGGAGATTATTTTTTCAACAATCACATTCACAATTTTGATCAAATATTTTCTGATAGGTGTAATATTACTATGATTCACGAATCTTTGATATATTTCCTGATTGATGATCGATATATAACGAACCAGAGTGTTCAAATAGAAAGGTTAAAGAATACACCGTTCTTAGGGAGGAACTATGAAATTTCAGTAGAGGCGTAAGTGTTAATGAAGCTCCTGGGGTGAGGTCACGGCGAGTCTAGTCTCTGGATACTTTTTGATCAAGCTTTTAACGAAAAACATATTATGTATTCAGTTTTTCATTAATATGCCTCCTGTCGGGAAATTTATACAGTCGCAAGGATCAGTAAATGAATAAATTGAACTCTCTAAATTAATGAGATTCTTTTACACCAGTATATTGAACTGAATACCGAGTGGTCTGATTTCGTTCATCACATCTCACTAATTTAAGATCTTTCACTGGTTGAAGGTGCTTCACATTCGATCTCATTGGTATCATCTGAAAAATTATATATGTATAGTAGAGACTCTTATCCGAGGGTTAATTTTTTTTTAATATTTTGATACCAAACATTCTATTAACTAAAAATTTAATACAATTTCTCTACTACACGATAATATATTTAGATAATACAATGACTAGATAACAAAACGTTTAGATACCAGAATATTGTAAAAATAAATGTTCGGATAAGGGAGTCTCTACTGTATTATACAAATACGTCAATGTCTTATTGAAAAGTGCCAGTCTTTTCATCTTCGTAAAATTTGTTAATGTATGATTATAGTTACAATCATAATGTCACTTTTTAAATTACGAAATGGTTTTGTATAAAAAATTTGTTCTTGTTTTTAATCCCTTATGACATTTTTCTTTAGTAGATATGTATCTTACTTTGCGTTAAACTACAAATTACATTAAAATCGACATTGTATGCAAAATTTGTTCATATTTTTTGTAAATAAAACTGTTGATTTTTTTTCAGTATTCATTTTGTAGTAAAAATAAAGCACATACATCACTTCACAGAGATATATTGCACGCGGTTGTGTGTAATTTAATATAAGTCTGGCAAAATGGAAAAAATTGCAATTTAAATCTTTCTTTTTGGTATACATTCTTATTCAGGGTACCATATTTATTGCATGCTACATTTATTTCACTTTTTGACTATTAATAACACCGAATCAGAATTTTACTTCAAATTAAAAGATTTGAATAACGTTCGTATTTAGTCGATTCTGTTTGAAATCTTCATCACGAGTCTGCCTTCATTTTCCTCTGCGAATCGAATAACTTTAAGGAAAAATACTGCTTTCAGTTAAAATATTGTATATCATTTTAGAATAATAATTTTCTTGCAGCTTCAGCAGACGCTGATTCGCAGAAAATTTAAAAATTTAAAAATTTGTTATCGTTTCAGAGGGACAATTACCAAAAGGAGCAGCCTATCTGGAGGAAACTGAAACCTTGAAGCGTCCATCGAGCGACGAGAAGCCGCTGATCAGTCCCGGTGAAATAAGTGAGTAAAATCTCTGGCCATCATCAGATTGTCAATAATTTGCAACCTGCTACCGCCATTCAAGTTTAACCAGATCCGTGTCTGTAATCTCTCCGTGGTTCTACGCGTCGACTAATTTGAAAGTGTAGTAGCCATTAGTTTTCTTCGTGTCGGGCAACCCCGTGACTCGAGATGCTGCGTTGGCACGATGCACGAGACGAATCGACCTTTTTTGGCTAAATGTTATCCACGAAATCAAAGTTGTTTTTTTTGCGGGAGTGTTAACTGAATTGTGAAATGAACTGATGTCCGCTCAGTCTACAACGTGAAGAAAGAGTACGAGAGCGAGCCGGAAACGGAAAACGAACCGCCGAAGAAGATGGCCGATTTGGGTCCTCGAAAATTTGAGGGTATCGGCCCAACAACTAAGGAGGGTATCCCTCTTGTGTTAAGATCGGTAGGTCCAGTTGAAAAGCTAACGAACTCGTTGAGCGAATCGAATTTATTAGGCGCAAGTTCTATTTCGATGTTCTTTGATATCAGATCCGGCTGCTTCTAAAATAACAGAACGTCCTTTATTACGTAATTAGTTCGGTCTGGTTTAATTTCATTTCAAGGACAATGTTAAACGGTGACTCAGTTGTTTTGGTCAGACCTTTTCGGCAAATTATGCTTCTATACAGGGTGGATCGTTTATCTTGATCGCCGTTAGCACGATCGATTGAGAGGTAGTAGATTCAGTATTGGGAAGAGGATACATCCACTACTTTCAGATGCAGTGTGTTGACGTTGTGACAGGCATTCAACTTCTCGCAAGTATTTTTTCATGCATTAGTAGTTTTTTGGAAGTTAATTATAATTAGATTGCTATTTATATGGGCATATTTATTTATAGCACTGAAATTTAATAAGGTAAAGTGTTTGGATAAAGTTTGATGAGACATTGATTCTCTTGATTAAACCATATTTAAGCAATAATCATTAAATAAGAATTATTTAACAAAATATCTTTATTTTAAGAATCTCATGCATAATGTATAAATGCATAAAATAAAGTACTATGATATATTCTAAATGTCGGTCAGTTTTCATTTAAATACGACTACTTGTATGTTATAAATTACATCCTTAAAAATATTCAGTGACTAAATTTTAAATTTCAATACTCTTTAAGAA